TATGTTGGGACCAATCTTCTGATCAAAGAAAAACCTGTTCTGACTGAGACCCAACATAGTCATGCTAGATCTAAGTTTGTTAAGCAGGTCACTTCAGGACCCTGAAATCTGATATGAGCCACATTTAAAAACAACCAATAAATCAGAACTGGAATTAGACTTTCAGTGCGAACATCTGTCAGAAGAAAAGACAGGAAGTGAAGGAGCAGAGCAAAGAGAAAGAATAAGGCTGATGATGATGATGGTGATGGTGATGGTGATGATGATGATATGGATGATAATGATGATGATGATGGTGTGTTTGCTCAGTGCTGAGGAGGCGGTGGGTCGGCACGCTGCAGGAACACGTCAGAGACCAGCTGGTGTTCGGTCGGCGGCGGTTCGGTCCCGGGTCTCACTGTCAGAAACACGGCGTCCTCGAACTGAAAGGAACCAAATCCAAAGTGTACGCCGCCATCAACACGGAGCAGATCTGGCTCTACAAGAGTGAACAGGTGACATGTTTACTACTGCTTCTCTTTTTACTTACTGTTATTTAAAAAAACTGTGAGCTGTGAACCCCCCATTATGAAATAGATGAAATTGAAAATATTATATGATATATATTATTAGTCAATATATCAATTATATAAATTAAATCATTTATATCCAATCAAGTTTAAAAGTAGAAAAGCAAATTATCATTATTATTAGTTTATTTCAAAACTTAAGCGTTTGACTTCAAACTGAAAAGATTGTATTGTATGTGTGTATGTGTGTGTATGTGTATTATCAAACCTTAATATAAATAAGATAAGATGTTCCTTTATTGATCCCCCGTGGGAGAAAAGTCAGACACAGCAGCACTGGGGAATATAGTGCAAAAAGTACAAAAAAGAATCATAAAGTAAAAATATTATAAAGATATAATAAAAAATATAAGACTATAATGTAAAATATATACACTATATGCAGTATGCAGTAGAATAATGTGTAAAATATTTGAAGCAACGTATAACTAAAACCTAAACTGTACATGTGCAATTTGCAAGGTGTAGTTTGTGTGTCGCAAGTTGAAGTTAAACCAAATACTTGATACGATTTTTGCAGTGTGTATTGATTTAGATTATCTCAACAAAAAGTGTAACTGAAAGCAAACAAATCAAAAGTGTTCTTTGATCAGTTTGTTCCATATTTCAGTCAGAATTCAGCTGATCTCACATTTTCTTTGCAGACTGACTCAGTTATGTTTCATTCATCCTGTCTCAGAGAGAGAAACACTGGTTGAACTTCATTCTGTCTCTGCAGAGCTTTCGTAACGGAATCGGCATCACGCTGATCGAAGCTCGAGGAGCGACCATCAGAGACGGAAAAAACAAGAGCTTCGACCTCATCACTCCATACAAAACCTTCAGGTATCCCTCCACCGTCAACCTGCATTTATATTTTAGTTCCTGTAACAGAGTTCCTTTAAACATTTCTATGTGCAGAGGTGTGTTCAGCTAACAGCAGAGATGCCTTATGTTCATGTACAATAACTGCAGGAAGAGAGATTTGGATGAATTTTGATTTATTTCCTGTGAATATTGATCAGAGATGAGTTTTTTTTTGATGATTTTAGAAACTTTTTCTACAATTCTTGTTTGTATTATTTATTTTATTTTATTTTGCACAATCATACAGACTTAATAGGCTGCTCTTTTGACCAATTAAGTGTTTTATTCTCCCTGATTCCTGTTTGTTTAATATGGATTGTATTCATGTCCTCAAAGTTTAGATATTAAATAATACAATGTAGGGTATTTCTTTTTTAAATATAAAGTTATTTTAAACGTTAAATTAAGTAACACAAACTACGTGTTATAAGCTGACATTCCTTATTCAGTTCTTTTTACCTTTTTCACAATACAAATAAAAAGTTTACAATTAAATCTAAAGCTACTTCATTTTGGATGCAATTAGTTTCAACAACTTTAAAAAATAACAGTTTCATTTAGTTTTCTTCACAGAAATAAACAAAATGCTGGCCGATGTGAATATTCTTTTAAGTTTTCTTAAACCCATTAAAATCAAGAAGGCCTCAGGACCCGCCAATGAATCCTGACCCCCAGGTTAGGGACCACGGCTGTAGATGAAACTGGTAACAAACTGTTGGTGCTCTCAGCCAACCTCTGCCAGGCTGGTCCCAAAACCAGGTCACTGAATGAGAAAAAGCTCCTTACAGCTAATTCCCTGCAGCTCTCGCAGCGCTGAGTCACAACGGAAACAAAGCAAGCAAAGTCAGTCTGCTGCTTTAATGTAAACACTTAAGCTTTAAAAAGGGGGATGTCTGTCTTTAAAATGCCGTTGCCATGGCGACATTCCAACAAGTCTCACCGCAGACTTCTGCTACGCCTCCGCAGCTTCACAGCGGAGTCGGACCGGGAGAAACGGGACTGGATGGAGGCGCTGCAGGAGTCCATTGCGGAGACACTGTCGGATTACGAGGTGGCCGAGAAGATCTGGTCCAACCGGTCCAACAGGATGTGTGCTGACTGCAAGGCCCTGAACCCCGACTGGGCCTCCATCAACCTGTGTGTGGTCATCTGCAAAAACTGTGCAGGTACAGGTCTTTATTCTTTATTTGGATATATGTCTTTCTCTCTCTCACCCCAAC